AAAAAAAAAAAAAAAAAACAGAGAGTAGGGTAAGGCTATACCTAGAGACGGTAAGAAAAAAAAACAAAGTACTTTGCAAGATTTTATTCTTGATTATGTTATTTTAAAAACCGCAGTTTTTTTACTTTTTTTCTGGTACTTGGTGTTACTGATTGAAAGTGTCAAAGAAGGAAATGCCCTTAATAAATTTGTCTGAAACTGAAAGAAGAGGAAGCTCTAAAGCTTTAATCTGGTCATGAGCAACCACATTTATACAGCTGCTGTAGTTCATGTCTGAAGAATGTACCGCTCTTTGCTCCATGTGCTGGCCTTGATATGTGAGTACATTACTTTCTAAGTTTAAATGGCATTAATAATGCAAAATATCAATTACACATGCACTTAAACAATATTTTGTTTGTGGATATTTCTTTGTGAAAGACTCAACCAATCACAAAGTTTTGGTTTTTTTACAGGCCAAATTTCTTTATCTGAGCTTAAACCAGTCTTGACTGTGTCTCCATCATGGCTGAGTTCCAAAACTTCAGTAACTCTGAGGTGTATTGTTGAGAATCCGTCTGAAGGACTGAGGTTCTACTGGTATACGGCTGTTCCTGATCTGTCACAAAATCACTACAGATATGAGCTGATGCCTGAAACAATAAATGGAACTTTAAACAACAACTACGTCATTCATGGACAAACAGACACAGCAGGATACGCTTGTGCAGCTGGAAGAGGAAGTCCAGATAAACTTGATCGCAGTGAACCAAAGTTTGTCTTGTCTAAAGGTCAGTTCCATTTCTCTTTACCTGTATGTTAACATAAACTTGTTAAGACAGTTTGGAATGTGTTTTCATTTTAAAACACAATAAGTAGTAGACTAAGGAAAGGATATTTAGATTTTAGTCTATGAAACCAAGTATGCTGTTTAATCTTTATTAGTTAAACAACCAACTTCCTAACGTTTTACAAATTTGAGGGAAAACAAGAAATGTAGTTAGTTAACACATTCCTCAGACAAAAAACATTTGTTAGATTTTTCTCAAAACAATATTAAGTAAATGTTTCACCTTAATATACACAAGGACACCATTTTTAGTAACCCTCGAAGACATACCCCTTCCTCATTTGCATAATGAGGCAGAAATGCAGACAGAAATGTAAAACTGACAAGCAATAATAAATAGTGTTAAAGAAATAAATAGGGTAAAAGAAATGCAAAGGAAGAACAAAACAGACAAAAATATTTATCAAATGCACATAAATGAATACTTTAAAAAAGTAATAAATAAATAAACTTGAAGATTATAATGGGCAATAAATAAATAAGGCTATTATTACAAAGGCGAATAAATAAAGAACCTAATTAAAAGAGATAGATATATTATTTCTCACTGTATTTTGTAATTTTTTACCTACATTTATTTGTTTATTGTATTTTTGGTAGCAATTAATTGTATGCTTATTCATTTATTGAGCATTTATAAATAATAATAATTATAAATATGGCAGAGTTTGTCCTCCATATATATATATATATATATATATATATATATATATATATATATATATATATATATATATATATATATATATATACATACCATCTCCTTGGTAGATGCCACATTTGATGGAGACTTGTGCAAGTGATGCAAGTGGCACTCCTGAGGAGTGGCAGCCAAGTTGTTAGGGCATTGCGCTTGGATTCCAGAGGTTCTGAGTTCAAGCTCCATTCCCTCAGACTGCCAATCTGTGTCCCTGTGCCAATATGTGCAGCTCCTCTTAAAGCTAATAGCTAAAATGTGTGTGGAGTTTCATATTCTGATAAAACTTTTGCAGTTTTTTAAATTTTTTATTATTATCATTGTTGATGACCTCTTCATGGTTTTTCATTCCGGCACAGAATCTATCAGTGGTCTGCAGTGACATACTATAGTGGTTTGTTTTCACCCCTGCTTGTGAGGCCAACTTACGCTTCACTGACATTTATAAAAGTAGCAGTGAAAAGGCTATTTCACACTAGTTTACATTAAATAATGTACAATATACCAACATCTTCAGATATCTTGTTGTTATAACAGACAGAAAACAAATGTGACATATTTACAATACTTTTTAAATGGTTTAGTGCTTTCATTAGATTGTTGTTATGTTATGCTAGAAATCTTGTTTGCTGTCAGATAATTAAACTTTAAACATGTTTAAATTTGAGAGTATTGCACTTAAGCTAATTTTTTTCCTAAAAAATTTGAGTGACCTACTGTTTACTCCTGTGTCACTAGAGTAAATGTTCTGGTTTGGGTTGTCTACTTGGCCATGTGATTTATTTGGACTAACTGTGAAAGTAGGGCTATCGATGCTTTACAGCTGAAACCACAACCGCCTTCTTTAATGTGTTTTTTTTTTTCTTTTCTGCTTAAGATGACTTCCTTCCTGATAGTGGGTATTCATATGACTCAGAGTTTGAGCAGACATGACAGCTATTTGATGTACTTCTTAAACCATACCTTTCTACAGCATTTCCTATTTATTCCACTTGGCAGTTTTCAAATCTAATAATATTACCCTGAGGCAGTCAAATTTTATCCTGAAAAGATGGATGGTCTCCATGTTTTAAACTTTGCAGAGTCCTGTTACAGTACACTCTATGGAACAAAGGAGAAGAAAATGTTCTTCCATACATATATTGTCAGTTTTTGCTGATGACATTCTCCTTTTTTTCACAAATCTTGACAGCTCCCTCTCCAATTTAGTGAATAAGTTGGATTTGTACAATTCCTTCTCTGGTTATAAAATACATTTGGATCAAAGCGAAATACTTTCTTTAGTAGACTTTAAATATAATACTTTTGCCAATCTGTGTCCCTGTGCCAATATGTGTGTTTCCTCTTAAAGCTAATATGTGCGTGGCAGGAGTTTCATATTCTGACAAAACTTTTGCAGGTTTTTTTTTTATTACCATTGTTGGTTTTAAAAGAAAAGATTATAGAGTGCTTTTTCAATTCAATGTTCTTGCGGCTATTTCTGTTTACAACTACAAATGTATTTGTATGAATTTATTTTATAAATAAATGCTTGCATATGTATACAGTTTCTTCTTTTCCCACTTTGATAAACATTTTAATCAAAATGGAGTCTGGGAAAGGACAGTTAAAATCCGAGGGGCGGCTTAGAATGGTTAGAAAGTAAGAAGGAGGGCTTTAAGGAAAATAGGTTGGTAACCACTTTTTGACTACATAGTGCTAGCAGAATTCTATACGGAACCAAAGTGCAGCCATGACTGGTTCTGAATAACAGCTTCATAGAAGAGAGCTGCCCCCCTCTCTTCGTGGTTTTTCATACCGGCACAGAATCTATCAGTGGTCTGCAGTACATGCTATAGTGGCTTGTTTTCACCCCTGCTTGTGAGGCCAACTTACGCTTAACTTACTTTTATAAAAGTAGCAGTGAAAAGGCTACTTCACACTAGTTTACATTAGATAATGTACAATATACCAACATCTTCAGATATCTTGTTGTTATAACAGACAGAAATCAAATGTGACATATTTACAATACTTTTTAAATGGTTTAGTGCTTTCATTAGATTGTTGTTATGTTATGCTAGAAATCATGCTTGCTGTCAGATAATTAAACTTTAAACATGTTTAAATTTGAGAACATTGCAATTAA